CCATCCCTTCTCCATTCTCCTCCTGGGATCCTGGGCAAGCACACACACACGTGCCAGGCATGAGTGCTAAGTCGCCTTGTCCAGGACTTGAACCACGGTTGACATTGTTGGAGTCGAGTGACATAACCATTATGCCATCCACTGCCCCCCAGACACCTTTTTGTTGGGGGAACCTGCCTCTCCTCTACATGTGGTTCTAATGAAACTGTCAGTCAGGGTCCCCTGCCCACCCCATGGCCATGTGACCAGGCTCCACCAATCATAGAATCCCGTGGCCAAATGTGGCCTCACAGCTGGGTTCCAGGGGGAGGCTTGACTGCCCAAGGCTTAGGATTCAAGTTGGAAAACCTGCTAAGGGAGAAACAAGGTCTGTCTTGCGGTGGGAATTCAAGCTGTAAGAATGTTAACTGGAGGCTGCCCCCAACCATCTTTCCTACCAGAGGCAGGTGGAGGTAACACACTCTAGCTGTGTCGTTACCTCATCTCTCTGTGCCTCTGTTTCCTCATCTGTAAAACGGGAATGCAAAGGCCCCAGGATAGGACTTTGCTTGACTTTTTTGAACCTTATCAGAGAGGGGGCAGATCATAGAGATCCAGAAAATATGGAAGGGGTTTCAGATATCACTCTGAATGAGAGAGAAGACATTGGCAGGTGTGATCTTGTATTGTGAAAAGTTCTTTTGGCCGCCACAGGAAGAATACACCATAGAGGGACTCCCAGAGAAACAAGAGGACAGTGAGGGAGCTGTAGAGAGGGTTATAGGCAGATTCAATGTTGGTAATGAGAGAAAGGAGAATCAAGGACCATTGCAGAGACTAAGGGACCGAGAGAGGAAGTACCTTTCTAAAGGTATACAAGTAGACAGAGCTAGGATTTGAACCCAGTCAAATTCTCCTCCATTCTCCTGGGATTTGGTGCATGCATGAACACATACCTGGAGCGATTTTTCAAGCCACCAGGTCCAGGATTCAAACCACTGTCAGCCATGTGGGAGTCTAGGACCATAACCACCTGCTCGCTCCACCTTAGTTCTTTTGAACCTGCATCTTCCCATCTCTGAAATAAGGGAACGATGGCATGATGTCCCCGTTCGTGGATTATCATGAGGCTTGGGACTAGCTGTTCTCATGTACTAGACACCTCTTATGTACCTGTATTTAGATTTTGAAGCTCATTTAATCTCCACAGCCATCCTGGAATGTTGATCCGGGTTGTACTGGCTTCTGAGAGCCAATGATTAAACTTTCAGGAAATTCATGAGTAGTTGTTAAGCCCTTGGTAGTTAGAAATTGGCCTTGTGGGAGTATTTACACCATAGAAATTGGCATACACATGAATCAAAGCCTCCCACACACACACACCTGGTTTGCACAGTATTGTAAGTGTGTGTGTGTATATGTAATGTATGTATATATTCCATTCCCTTTATAGGTGAGAAAACTGAGGCTCAAAGATATTAAATTGACCAAAATCCACCAGTTTAGGAGGTAGCAGGTCTGCCCTTGGACTCCCAAACCCCATGCCCTTAACCCCTATGCAGTCATAGTGCCATAGATAAGAAAATGTGTATGAAAGAGACCTGTAAGCAGACAAAGCTGTATAAATATTTATTATTATAAATTGATAGAAGAAAAGAAAAACTTTTCTCGCTGGACTATGCATTACTTCTGCATTTAGGCTGCTACCAAATATCCACTCCCGTCTGTCCTTCCTTCCAGCTCATCCTCATCACTCTTCAGATCATCTCTCTCATGCAGGTGCAATGAGAATTTCTCAGACATTCTCCTCTGTTCATTTCTTTATTCCTCAGTGTTCCAGTCTCTTTCATTCACCTCCGCCTTCTAGTCAGCCCACTGTTGTTTCCTCGTTTCCCATTGCACTGTTTTGTTCCACCTCCATCCTAGCATTGAGGGAGGCGGAATGGAATCCGCCTTCCCCATTCCACTGCCCCGCCCCCTTTATCTGAATCAGAGCAGGGGGGAACCATGGACCCAAGTGTGTCTTGCAACAATTGCTGCTCTTCCCCCTTCCTGGGTGGCAGGGAGGCCAGATAGCTCACCATCTGATGGCTTTCCTTGTTCTCTGACACCCCAGAGAAACCACATGTGCCATTTGGTGGTCTCCGAAATAACATGCTTAAGAAACCTGGAATTATAAAACTGCTTAATTAGAGAGAGATGGTTTCACTGGGATATGCCCAGTTTTCCCTGGTGGTTTGATCTTCTCAAAGTGGCCCGCCCGCCGGCAGCTAATTGCTACCTTTAGCTCGGTGCCGCATAGGCACGCACTCCCTTCATTTTATTTTCTGTGACATCAGTGCTTGCTTTTAAAGAGGAGTTCTTTCTTTCGGGTTCCAACTCTCCTTCATCAAACTCGACGCAGTTGGTTGGAGTAATGAGGGTGCAATCTTTCATTTCAGACGTCTCTTGTTACTAAACGAGCACCTACTATGTGCTAGATGAGGAGGCTATGTCCACAGACAAATGATCTTCTCCTCACTGGGGCTCACAGTCCAGTGGGAGAGACAGGTACTAAAATAAGTTAAAATACCATAAGAGGGGCCAGGTGGCGGTGCAGTAGGAACACGCCAGACCACATGGGAAAGGTCCTGGGTTTGCATCCTGGGGCCTTTCTGAACACGCTGAGCATGTGTGTATGCATATGCACACGTGTGTACACACCTGTGCTGTGGTCCACGCCAGCTGAGACTATGGGTAGATGGTGGTGTGAAGACCCTTTTGGGATGTCTGTCTTTCCCCTTCTCTCTTACTCTTGGAATAAACACATAAAAAAAAAATTTAATGGGGTTGTGGGGGAAGCCATGATACATTTTTGCATAGAAAAACATAGAAAAATGACTTTCTCAACAGTCTAATATAATAAAATTGGTGAGACATGCTCGGAAGGAGTGATTTAGGCTGTTCTTGGAGGGTGGGACAGGATCACCTGATGGCAGCACCCTCAGGGACCTGGGCAGATGGGTGCTGGGTTGCAGGCAAGGCCTGGCCATGAGACTGAGAGTGGGCAGATGTGTGTCCTCTCTCCAGAGAGGCAGGGTGGGTACCTGGGCAAAGAACCTGGACTTCGTACTCACACCAGGCTGGGTTTGAATCTTACCTTTTTCTCTTTTCTTTTTTTTTTTCTTAAGTCTCTTTTTGTATTTTATTGTTCCCATGAGAGAGACCAGCACTTTATTCCTCATGCCACTGTCCATCCTGAGCCTCAGCCGGCCCAGTTCGTAGGTACACGTGTGCCCAACAGGCCTGCCCAGCTGGCCTCTGAATGTGAACCAGGGACCATCGCATGCGCATCAGATGGCACGAAGAATTGTGTTGCCATTTCACACCACTGCCAGCCCTGAGTCTTATCTTCTTTTCCCATGATAGAGAGGGTGGGGGCCAGCAGGTGGCTGGTGATTAAAGTGCTGGACTCCCACATGACCGACTGTGGTTTAAGTCCTGGCCCTGGCAGCTTTCTCTCTCTCTGTTTGTCTCTCTTTGTCTCCTTCCGGTCAGCACGCATGCCCTGTAGCAAATTTAAAAAATAATAATAAGGGTAGAGACCAGCAGTTGGCATAATGGCTGCATCGCTGGACTCCCATGTAGTTGACCATGGTTCAAGTCCCAGACCTGGTGGCTTAAACTCATGCCCGGAGCGTGTGCATGTGTGCTCAAGATCCTGAAAGGAGAATGGAGGAGAAGGGATTGCGGCGTGGCCATACCCCCTGGGGGGGTGATTTCTCACTCTCTGTCTCTCTGTCTCTCTCTGTCTTTCTGGTGAGCATACACGCCCTATAGCAAAAAACAAAACAAAACAAAACAAAAACAAAAAGAAACAAAAAAAAGACCTCTCCAAAATAATAATAATAGTAATAATGAGGATAAATAAAATTAAATGAATAGTTCTTTTAAAAAATGATAGTGTGTACATGTGTGAGAGAGAGACAGAGACAGAGAGAGGGAGAAGCACCCTCAGCAGTCTCGTCATGCCACGATCACCTTTCTCCAGCTCTCCAGCTTCTCAGGATCGTGGGTGCCCCTGCATGTTTCCAGGCCAACTTAGGGATCCAAACCCGTGGTCAGCCATGTGGCTTCCAGCACTGCAGTACAGTACACTACAGACTGTAGGCCTTGATTCTTATCTGGCTACATGTTTGAGAGCCACAATTCCTCACCTGCAGAACAGAAATCATGATCCCTACCCTCTCAGGTCACCTCGAGGACTAAAGGAGATAAGCAGGAAGAGACGCTTAGCATTGTGCCTGGCAACAATTCTATTTCCCATCTTCTCTTCGCCCTTGGACAAGTCCCTCGAGTTTTTTGTGGCCTGGGCTGTAAAATACTATAATAACCCCACCCTGTCATGTCTCATCAAGGTAAACATGCATTGGGATCAGCAGATGGTGTAATGGTTATGTCACCAGACTCCCATGTAGTCGACCGCATTTCGAGTCCCAGACCCAATGGCTTAAAACTCATGGGGGATACACGTGCGTGTGTGTGCACAAAATCCCAAGAGGAGGATGGAGGAGAAGGGATTGCAGCACGGTCATCCCCCCGGGGGCTGATTTCTTGCTTTCTGTCTCTCTGTCTCTTTCTGTCTCTCTGTCAAGCACACACGCCCTATAGCAAAAAATACCTCTCTAAAAAAACAGTTAAACATGCATCTATATTTGGCTTTGAGTCCACCAAGCCACAGTAAGATCCAGGGAGTGACCCACATCCAACCTCTGTCAAAAGCAAAGAGTTGCTCTCTCCCTAAAGGTGATCCTCAGCATGGTGGTCTTCTGGGCTGCTAGGTGGTGGGTAAGGGCAGTGGGCAGGGGCCACATATCCCCAGCCATATCGCAGCCCCATGAGGAGCTGGCCTGAGTGCTTTCCGAAGCTGATTAATGGCCTGCCTGTGACCTGGAATGTCATTACTGCCCAGGCTCGGGCCCCCAGCTCGGTCCTTGGGGTCTTTACATTAATAGTAATTGATGTGGTCTGTGTGGCTGCAGGGCAAGTTCTATCTGGTCATCGAGGAGCTGAGCCAGCTGTTCCGATCGCTCGTCCCCATCCAGCTGTGGTATAAATACATCATGGGTGAGGACTCCTCCAACAGCTATTTCCTCGGGGGAGTGCTGATCGTCCTCTACAGCCTCTGCAAGGTGAGCTGGCCCAGGGCTGGAGAGCTGGCCTAAGGAAGGCCCCATTCACTGGTCAGGCCTGGAGCTCCAGGGAACCTGGAGGACCCATGCTAATGTCCTTTATTTTTTTTTAATTGAGGTAAAATTCACACAGCATTGGGGCTAGCAGTTGGAAGTGGTTAATGTGCTGGAATCCCACATGGCTGACCACGGTTTGAGTCCTGGACCCAGCAGCTTGAAGCTCATGCCGGGCATGTGGGCGTGCATCCCCAAAATCCCGAGAGGAGAAAGAGGAGAAGGGATTGCGCTTGACCATCTCCCCTGGGGAGTGATTTCTCACTTTCTCTCTCTGTCTCTCCAGCAAATGCATGCCCCATAGCAAAAATCTCTCTTATTATTATTTTTTTTTTGAGAGGTTTTTGCTATAGAACACATGCACTCACCAGAAAGACAAAGAGAGACAGAAAGCAAGATATCAACCCCCCCACCCCGGGGGAATGGCCACGCCACAATCCCTTCTCCTCTATTGTCCCCTCAGGATCTTGGGCACACACACACGCCTGGCACGAGTTTAAGCCACCAGATCCGGGACTCGAACTGTGGCCAACTACATGGGAGTCCAACAACACAGCCATTATGCCATCTTCTGGTCCCACAAAAATCTCTCTTAAAAAAAAAAAAAGCAAGTAATAACCCATTAGCCATTTTTTTTAAGATTTTTTTTTTTTAAGTGTCAGAGGCTGTGCCCGAGAGAACGATAATAACCCCACTTGGTGTAGTGATGCCAAGTCCTTTTTCCTCTATTTCAATCAGTGTACATCACCATCACTTATAAAATGAATATTCCCAGCATAACTACACTGCACACCAGTCCAGTCAACAATGTTATCATACACGTTATCATCAACAGACAAGCCTCCATTTCTGTCTCCCTTAAATATTTTGTCTCTCGGGACCACCAAATGGCATAATGGTTACATCACTGGACTCCCATGTAGTTGACCGTGGTTTGAATCCCGGACTTGGCAACTTAAAATTCATTCTGGCCGAGCGTGCATGCATGCCCAAAATTCCAATAGGAGAATGGAGGAGAAAGGATTATGGCACGGCCATATCCCCGGGGATGATTTCTCGCTTTCTGTCTCTCTGTCTGTCCACCGAGTGTTCGTGCCCTATAGCAAAAAATCTCTCTCAAAAGAAAGTCTTTTTATTTTGGGGGCATAATACGTGCCTGGTGTGTTTTTCAAACTTCTGGGGCCAGGATTCGAACCACAGTCAGCCATGTAGGATCTGGCTCCCAATACATAAGTGCTTAACTGCTGCTCTATGGGACTGGCTCAATAACTAGCCATTTTTTTTAGAATTATTTATTTCATTTTTATTTATTCATTTATTTTAATTTTGACCAGAGAGAAACACAGAGAGAGTGAGAAAGCAAGCCACCAGGTCTGGGACTCAAACCATGGTTACCCATGTGGGAGTGTTCAGTGCCTTAACCACCACACCACCTGCTGACTCCCCATTTAAAAAAAAAATTATTTTCTTTTAAAATTAATTAATTTATTTTAATTTGACCAGAGGGAGAGGGGAGAGGGAGAGAGAGAGAAAGAGAGAGGTGCCAGGTCCAGGACTCAAACCGCAGTTGGCATGTGGGAGTCCAGCGCCCTTAACCACCACCCTACCTGCTGGCCCCTAACTAGCTATTTTAAAGTGTACAATTCAGTGGCTCTTAGTGGATTCACAGAGTTGTGTAACCATCATCTCTGTAGTTCTAAGACATTTTCCTCACTGGGAAAAGAAATCCTTTATGCATTTAGCTGTTGCTTCCCATTCCCTGCCCACCCCCATAGCCCTTGGCAACCGCTGATCTGCTTTCTGTCCCAAAAATTGACCAGGACCAGCAGGTGGTGTGGTGGTGAAGGCACTGGATTCCCACATGGCTGACTGCAGTGCAAGTCTCAGACCCACTGGCTTGAAAATCACACACATGTGCATGCATCCCCCAGATCTCAAGAGGAGAATGGAAGAGGAGGGATTGTAAAATGGCCCTACCCCTTGGGGGGTGGTTTCTCTCATTCACTCTCTCTTTATCTCTCTCTGGCACATGCCTGTGCCCTATAGCAAAAAACAAACAAACAAACAAAAATACCTATTCTGGATTTTCATAGAAGGGGAATTACACAGCATGTGTCTGTCCTCTTTCACTCAGCGTAAGAGTCTTGAAGTCCAGACAGGTGGTAGCATGTGACGGTACTTAATGGTAGAATCCTCCCAGCTTCCTCGCGCAGAAGCTTACTGCCATATAGTCATCTTCCCAGCTCCATACCGTCATCACTCCCGTTTTATCGGTGAGAACACTGAGGCTCAGGTTGATGGACTGACTGACCCAAGGTCACTCAGTGAGAAGTCCTGGGAGAAGCATCATACCAGGCAGGCTGCTTCCAAAGCCCAGAGCTTTTTTTTTTTTTTCTTTTAAACTCATTTATTTTTTTAATTTGACCAGAGAAGGACAGAACAAGAGAGAGGGAGAGAGAAAGCAAGTTACCAGGTCCGGGACTCAAATCGTGGTTGGCCATGTGGGAGTCCAGTGCCTTTAACCACCATGCCACCTGCTGGCCCCCAAAGCCCAGAGCTCTTAACCATGCAGCTAGTGGCTTTGTTTTCTCTCCTTCTTACCTCGAAAAATAGTATTGCTCTTAAATTGTACTCCTGCAAGTCAGTATGCAGTGGTTTTCTTTTCATTGTTAGTACAGTCGGGGTTTTTTCCCCCTTCTAAAAATAACATCTTCTCTTTCTTTTTTTTTTTTTTCTTTTTTCTGACTTTATAGAATTCTGTGGGATGTATGTGTTCTTTTCTTTCTCTCCTCCCCATAGGACTAGCCATGCAGTCCATGCAATGTCAGCCACTGGGTTTATCCTCTTGATTCTGGTTGACTGGCAGTGGCTAACAGGAGGGTTAGATAAGGATTATCCAGCTTTGCCTGGACTCAGAGGAAGAACTCTGTGATCGATTAGCAATGCCTGCCCTGGGCTTGGGATGGGAAAAGGTGTGTGTGTGCCATGTACTTGTTATCCCAGCTGAGGCAACAGGGGAAGCTGTTGATATCAGGTAGCAAGACAGAAGCCAAGCAAAACTGAGGAGGAAGTGCCCTGAGAATGTTTCAAAGACAGGGATGAAGATGCGAGAGGGCTAGAGCGGGGAGGCGGTTCAGGGGATGTGGGAGATCCTGAGCAACCTGGCTACTGTTCAGCTGTCTCTTTGCTTTCTTTCAGTCATTCGACATTTGTGGCCGTGTGGGTGGAGTTCGGAAAGCCCTAAAGCTCCTCTGCACCTCTCAGGTGAGTTGGCTACAGGTGGTCTCAGTGGAGATTACAGGAGCTGAAATCAGCTCCTTTCTTACCCCACAGACCTCACAGTGCTTCCAGGTGGGGGCCCATAGCTGTGTTGGCCTTTCCCCTCCCTCAAACAGAACTACGGAGTCCGAGCCACTGGGCAGCAGTGCACAGAAGCTGGGGACATCTGCGCCATCTGTCAGGCTGAGTTCCGAGAGCCTCTGATTCTCCTGTGCCAGGTGAGGAAAGTGGGACTCTTGGGGGACAGGAGGGCCCTGCCCCATGACCGACCTCGGGGCTACGGCCTGGGTCTTTGGGCACAATCTGGTCCAGAGTGGAGTCAGCTAGACTGGATGCAAATCTCAGCTCTGTCTCTTGCTAGCTGGGTGGCCTTGGGCAGGTTACTTCACCTCTCTGAGCCTCTGATTCATCAGTCAAAATGTAGAAATGCCAAATTCAGAGTGCGGTAGCATCAGAATATCTTGAGTACGAATCCCAGCAGCATTCTTGACCCCGTTCGGTTATCTCATTCCCCTAGGCCACAGTTTTTCTCAGACCTACAGCAGGTCCAATTATAATACCTACTTCAATAGAGCAGTTATGATCCAACGAGATCGTCTATGCTAAGAGCTAAATCCGAATTATTCCGTCTTAGACACTGCTGGCGTTATCGTTATTATTATCGGTATAATCATTATTACCATCTGTTTACATTGTCAGTCGTGGGTCACCCACCCACCTCTGTGGATTCTGATCAAGTCCTGACCAGCACAGTGAGTGCTAATCAATTTCCTCTCCGACTCCTCAGTGCACATTGCTCCTTTTCCTGACGTCTGGGGGCGGGGGGGCGGCTGGGTGTCAATTCAGCAAATGTGTTTTGGGTCAAAGCATCCTATCAGACACTAAGGAGAAGATCCTGTCCCTCCTCTGGAAGCTCGTGTTCTCCCCGGGGAGACAGTCACTTACATAAATAACGATGCGAAGCAGGCGGTGGTAAGTGCTACGTAAGAGAGATTCATGCGGCGTCCCTGGGGAGCAGGGTGAGCACGGCGAGGTCCAAGTGGAAGAGGCTTTTGGAGGAGGCACGGACCTGGAGACCAGAGCGCCTGGAAAGGCATACGTGGCCCCCTCCTACCACCACCACCACCACCACCACCCTCAGGAGGAGAGGAGACTGGAGACGGCAGCAATTTTGTTGCTATTACTGTTGGGAGATTTTAGAGGGGACTATTTTTCAGTTTTGTTTTTATTTCTCTTTCCATTGCTACTATGTTTATTTGCATGAGTCAGAATTTAAAAAGAAGAGGAGGAGACATGATGACTGAATGCAATACGGGACCTGGGTAGGCTAGCCATTATCAGTGTGGGTATGAGAAAGGATGTCATGAGGAAAACTAGTCTGATGGACTCCCAGTGAAATCTGGAGAGTAGTTAATAGTAACGTCTCGGGCCGGCTCTATGACTTGGTGGTTAAGGCAGCTAAATCCCACATGGCCAACCTCATGGTTCGATTCCTGGATCTGGCAACTTGAGAAACACACTGGGCATGCGTGTGTGTGCATGCCCAAAATCTGTGTAGGAGGGAGAGATGGAGGAGAAAGGATTGCAGCAGGGCCAGTCTCCATGGGGCATGCGTTCTTTTGTCCCTCTCTCTGTCTCTCCGTGGTAAATGCACATGCCCTCTAGCAAAATAACTGAACACACACACACAGAGCAACATATTGATGTTACTTTCTTGGCTTCAACAGATATACATGGAAATGTGAGATGATAATGTTAAGGGAAACTGAAGCCAGGTAAAGAATAGATGGGGATTTTCTGTCTTAGTTTATCTCTACAACATTTCTGTATACCTAAAATTCATTCAAAATGCAAAGTTTAGAGGCCAGTAGGTGGTGTGGTGATGGGGGTACTGAACTCCCACATGGCTGACTATGGTTCAAGTCCCAGACCTGGCAGCTTGCTTTCTCACTTTTCTTCTCTCTCTCTCTCTCTCTCTGGTCAAATTAAAAATAATAATAATAATAAATTAAATAAATAATTATTGAAATAAGAGGAAAAATACAAAGTTTATTTATTTTTTCCTAAAGAGATATATAAAGGAGATTAGTGATAGATCTCCTACCCTTGTCCCTCAGCTCCCTAAATCCCCTATTTAATCATATAGGCAGCCATTGTTACAAGTTTTCTTTTCCTTTTTTTTCTAAAGAATTATTTAATTTAATTTAATGTATTTATTTTAATTTGACCAGAGAAGGATAGAATGAGAGAGAGAGAGGAAGTGAGAGAGCAAGCTGCCAGGTCTGGGACTCAAACTGTGGTCAGCGAGCATCCTTAACCACCACATCACCTGCTGGCCCCATTACAAGTTTTCTAAGTCTCATTCCAGAGATGTTTTCTAGCACTTAAGCATAATGTGAGATATAAATATATGAGAGGATTTCACAAAGTCAGTGGAAAAATTGAATTAAAATACAAGTTTATTTTGCTGCAAAAACACTTCGAAATCCCTTCCAAAGGATTTCATAATACATATTTTCTATGACCTTTTTAAGAACCCCATGTGTGTGTGTGTGTGTGTGTGTGTGTGTGTGTGTGTGTGTAAATAAGTTGTAACCTATTCCACCTACTCTGCTTTCTGCATCTTGCCTTTAACTTCAAATTCTGTCTCAGTCTTATTTTAAAACTATACACCACACAGTTTTATGGCTAGACCACAATTTCTTTCACCATTCTACCAGTGATAGGCATTTAGTAGCTCATAATTTTTTGTTCTTCTGAAGATGGCCGTCATGAATTATCTGAACTGGGGAGATCTGTTGCACCTGCTTGGGCCCGTTGTATTAGTGAAATGAGTTCATGCAAGTATTCAGAACTGAATAAATATTAGCTCTTAGTTAAGGGCATTGGGTCCCATTCACATATGCGTGAGCACTGGGTGGGATAAATTCCTGGCAGTGAAGTGACTAGGTTGGAAGGGTACACAGTTTTGACAGATATTGCTAAATCACCTTCCATACTCGGGACCCCCCAATGACATAACTGTTACGTTGCTGGACTACCATGTAGTTGACCGCAGTTCGAGTCCTGGACCTGGCAGCTTAAAACCCACACCTGGTGCAGGACCAGCAGGTGGAATCATGGCTATGTTGCTGGACCCCCATGAATTCGACCCCGGTTAGTCCCAGACCCAATGGCTTAAACTCACGCCATGCACGTGTGCGTGCATGCCCAAGATCTTGAGAGAAAAATGGAGGAGAAGGGATTGCAGCGTGACCATCCCTGCCAGGTGGTGATTTCTTGCTTTCTGTCTCTCTGTCTTTCTTGCAAGCGTACGTACCCTATAGCAAGTACCTCTAAAAAAAAAAAACACCTCACATCGGGTGCATGCATGCCCAAAATCCCAAGAGGAGAATGGAGGAGAAGGGATTGGGCATGGCCATCACCCCCCAGGGGGACGCGATTTCTCACTTTCTGTCTCTTCGTATCTCTCTCTCTGTCTCTCCAACAAGTGCACATGCCCTATGGTAAAAATTTCTCTAAAAAAAAAAAAAAAGAGTATATTCACTTACTCTACCAAGGCGGGATGTGACATGGCCTCTTACTCCCCTCTTCACTGACACCAGTGTCATCAAGCCTGGCCTCTTTTAAGCTCTGCCAATCAGACAGGTGACAGATGCTAACTCAGCACAGATTTCATTTCCATTTCCCCAGTGCTGAGCATGGTGTAGCATCTTCTCATGGGCTTCAGAACCATCTGGATGTCCTTCTCCATAGCAGGATTGAGTGGACATGGTGTCAGGGTGGAAGTCTTCCTTCTTTTCTGGCCTCATTCTGTCTGTTTGCATTTCATTCTTCTCCGGATACCACTACATCTGGACGGGCCAATACATGCACAGTTGGGTGAGTGAATTAAGTGGCTGGGTGAGTGGAGGGATGGAGAGATGGCTGGATGGTTGGTTGGATGGATGGATGGACAGACGGATGGATGAACCTTCTGACAAGAGGATGAGTAGATGATGAGGACTCCCCTAAGCTAAAGCATTCTGTCTCCCCTTCAAAGAGAATCAAATTACGCTCAGAGTCACACCCCCACCCACCCCCAAAGTAGGGCCCGGGAAGCAGGTTGATTATAGCTGGCTAGGTGGGTACTGAGTGGGTCTCAAGGTTAGAACTCTCTGCTCAGACAGAGCACACTTCAAGGTAGTCCCCCCCCACCCCCATGTATTTATGGCATGCCTCCTGCCAGGTCACAGGGTCAGGGAAAGGGCATTTTGAACAGGAAGCGAAAAACTCAGTTTATTTAAAGGGATTTTTTTTCCCCAAAGAGAAGAGCCAAGTATCTTTCAAGAACAAACTTCCTTCTAACTCTTGGTCACTGTGAGTTTGGTTTTTTGCCAGTTGTATGGTTTAAGAGGGCAAAGAACCTTGGGTCCTGCTGATTTGGGGCTTACACTGCCTCACACTTGTGCTTCAGACCCTAACCTGCTTCTGTCCTTGAAGACACCTTGGGAGGGAAATAGTAGCCCCGTTTTATAGAGAAGGAGGCTCAGGCTCAGAAAGAAGAAGGGATGGGCTTTCCTGAGTTCCTACTGCTCTTCAGTAGCAGAATCTGGATTCAGACCCGAACCTGTGATGCCTCTGGCCATACCCTTTCTACAAAGCTTGACCTCTTGCTTTGAAATGTCTTTTTTTTTTTTTTTAAGAATTATTTCATTTAACTTTATCCATTTATTAATTTGACCAGAGAGATAGAAAGAGGGAGAGAAGTGAGAAAGCAAGCCACCAGTCCGGGACTCGAACTGTGGTCGACTGTGTGGGAGTGTCCAGCACCTTAACCACCACGCCACCTGCTAGCCATGCTTTGAGATGTCTTAAAGGCTGCATGAAACTATTAGAGACTTCCTGGAAATCCCTGGGAACATGGTGTGTCCTGTCCAGCAGAGCCTGTGTTCACTGCCTCCTTGGAATGAGCGAATGGCCGAGCTGGAACTGGAGTTCAGAACACCTACCTCTGATTCCTCCCCACATTGTTCACGTAACCAGGTACTTGTCGAGCAGTGACGGTATCCCAAGTACTAGCGTTAAACCCTAAACAGTGCTTTTTATTTATTTATTATTATTTATTTTTTCAGACAGATTTTTTCTATAGGGCGAGTGCACTTGCCAGAGACACAAGAGACAGAAAGTGAGAAATCACCCCCCCCCCGGAGGGGATGTCCACACCACAGTCCCTTCTCCTCCATTCCCCTCGGGATTTTCGGCACGCATGCACATGAGTTTCAAGCCACCAGATCTGGGACTTGAACCACAGCCGGTCATGAGGGAGTATACCACCTCAACCACTACGCCACCTGCTGGCCCCGCAGTGCATTTTATTTGACCCTGACCCTCCGTGGCATCTGTTACCCAAGAGTGAAAGAAAGTACTCTGGGAAACTTGCAGATTTTAAGTGCAGTCATATGAAATGAAGTATACGGATATGTATTGGTTTAAGAGCATAGTGTGTTGGGACCAGCAGTTGGCATAATGGCTATGTTGCTGGAATCCCATGTAGTCGACCGTGGTTTGAGTCCCAGACCCGGTGGCTTAAACTCATGTTGGGTGCATGTGCATGCGTGCCCACGATCCTGAGAAGAGAATGGAGGAGAAGGGATTGCGGCATGGCCATCCCCCCTGGGGGTCTCTCTGGCGAGCGCACTCGCCCTATAGCAAAAACCTTTCCAAAAAAAGAAAAAGAAAAAAAGCATAGTGTGTTATACCAGCAGTCAGTGTTAGTGTTTAATTCCAAGTCTGGTCATGGCTGGTCTGGTTTGTGTGATTAAAGAGGATCCATGGGGCCAGGAGGTGGTGTAGTGGTTAAGGTGCTGAATTCCGATGGGGTTGACTATGGTTTGAGTCCTGGACCCAGTGGCTCACGCTGGGCACATATGTGTACATGCCCCAAATTCTGAAAGGCAAATGGAGGAGAAGGGATTGCGGCATGGCCATCCCCACAGGGTTTGTTTGAGTTCTCACTTTCTGTCTCTCTCTGTCTCTGTAGCAAGTGCACATGCCCTATGTCAAAAATCTCTAAAAAAGACAAAAACAAAACAAAAAACCCTGTGGCCACAGGCGTGTGTGTGTCCTGTCTGGTAGTAGACACATTTTCGGTAATGTCTTTTTTTTTTTTTGGAGAGATTTTCACTGTAGGGCACGTGCGCTCGCCAGACAGACAGAAAGAGACATAGAGACAGAAAGCGAGAAATCACCCCCCAGGGGGGATGGTCACGCCGCAATCCCTTCTCCTCCATTCTCCTCTCGGGATCTTGGGCACGCACGCACACGCGCCCAGCGTGAGTTTTAAGCCACCGGGTCCGGGACACGAACCGCGGTCGACTACGTGGGAGTCCAGCGACATAGCCATTACGCTAACTGCTGGTTCCCGGTAATGTCATTTTTCACAGTCAAGAGCATCAGACGTTGTGTGAATACTACAGATGCTTCTCAACTTATGTCATAAACCCATCATGAATCGAAAATGCCATTAAGTCAAAAATGCAAAATGCTGACTGTCATAGCTTAGCCTAGCTGACCTTAAACATGTTTACATTAGCCTACAGTTGGACAAAATTATCTGGCATAAAGCCTATTTTATAGAAAGTGTTAAATAGCTCATGTCATTTATTGAATCCAAGTACGGTCTCTACTGATTGTGTATTGTTTTCACACTGTGATAAAGTTGGAAAGTTTATAAGTTCAACCATCAGAAGTCAGGGACAATCTGTACAGGGTAGGACATAATGAGCAATAGTTTTTATGATAGAATGAGACACTTCTTGTATCAGTTAGCAATTGCCGTATAACAAATTAACCCAAAGCTTAGTGGTTTAAAGCAATAAGCATGGGGCCAGCAGATGGCATAATGGTTACATCGCTGGACTCCCACGTAGTTGACTGCAGTTCAAGTCCTGGACCTGGTGGCTTGAATCGCACACCAGGCACGTATGCATGTGTGCCCAAGATACCAAGAGTAGAATGGAGGAGAAGGGACTGTGGCATGGCCATCCCTCTCTGGGGGGGGCGATTTCTCACTTTCTGTCTCTCTGGTGGTCACATGCACCCTATAGCAAAAATCATCTTAAAAATAAAAGAAAGAGGGAACCAGTAGTTAGCATAATGACTATGTCGCTGGATTCCCACATAGTCGACCGCAGTTCGCATCCCAGACCCAGTGGCTTAGAACTCAACGCCGGACGCGTGTGCGTGCGTGCCTAAGATCCCAAGAGGAGAATGGAGGAGAAGGGATTGCGGCGTAACCATCCCCCCCGGGGGGGTGATTTCTCGCTTTCTGTCTCTATGTCTCTCTCTGTCTGTCTGGTGAGCGCACGTGCCCTATAGCAAAAACCTCTTCAAAAAAAAAAAAAGAAAGAAAAGAAAGAGAAAACATAAAACACACTTGAGTTTTAAAAAGTTTTTATTGATTTGTTTTTTCCATGAGTGAGAGAGAGGAACAGGTACCCCCAATAGGTCATTAGACGGTGACCCACCTGCAGCCTGGATTGTGGCTGTGTATCTGGCCTCTGCAGGAAGGTCTTAGGACAAAAACTAGGGACCTTTTCATGAGGGATCAGCTTGACAGAGTGTCGCTTTACCACTGAGCCAGCTGGTCCTAGTTGGGCTTTGCAATCATCATTTTCTTGAAGTTTGTTATTCTGAACAAGTTCAAATATGCAGAAAGATTGAAGGCTAGTAGGAAGTACACCCTTCTGTTCTCCACGCGGGTTCGCTAATCATTAACGGTTTGTTACCTTGGCCTTGTTTTCTTTAGTTTTTGCAATAGGGTGCTTGTGCTTACCTGAGAAAGAGAGAGGAAAAGGGAGAAATCCGCCCCCCACCACCCGGGAGGATGGCCCCACTGCAATCCCTATTCTCTATTCTCTTTCGCTATTCTCCTGTTGGTATTTTGGGCACATGCGCACATGTGCCTGACATGACTTTTCAAGCCACCAAGTCTGGGGCTCAAACTGCACAGTCAGGGACCAACAGAGGGCCTAATGGTTACGTCACTGGACTCCCATGTAGTCGACCGCTGTTCAAGTCCTGGACCCGGTGGCTTAAACCTCATGCCAGGTGTGTGTGCATCGCATGCCCAAAATCCCTAGAGGAGAATGGACAAGAAGGGATTGTGGTGTGATCATCCCCCCTGGGGGGGTGATTTCTCACTGTCTGTCTCTTTCTGTCTCTCCGGTGAACATATACGCCCTATAGAAAAAGTCTCTCTAAAAACAAACAAACAAAAACCAAAATATGCACAGTCAGCCGTGTGTGGGGTCCAGTGCCTTAACATCCCCGCCACCCGCTGGCTCCACATTTGCCTTTTCTTGATAGAAAGGTTCCCCTAAACCAGTCACAGAGTAAATGAGAATAAGCATCTTGAGTCTTCATCCCTAAGTAGTTGAGCGTGTGTCTCTCAAGGACGAGGACAGACTTCCCCATGGGCACAATCCCACTCACCCACCCGGGACATTTACAGTGATAGAAAAGATTACTGTGTGGTCTACACAGAGGGTCTTCCCAAAGGTCATGGAAATGAGGATCATGAACAGACGACGTGGGCGTCTTGTTGTTTTGGGCACCCTAATAAACTCATGCTTTAATTCCATTTTCCACAAACTTTTTTTTTTTTTGGGGGGGGGAGGGATTTTCACTGTAGGGCGCGTGCGCTCACCAGACAGAGACATAGAGACAGAAAGCGAGAAATCACCCCCCGGGGAGATGGTCACGCCACAATCCCTTCTCCTCCATTCTCCTCTCGGGATCTTGGGCACGCACGCACACACGCCTGGCGTGAGTTTTAAGCCA